CTGCCCGGCCAAGCCCCCTCGGGCTCCCGTTTCCTCTCCCCGCTCCGGGAGCACGTTGGTGCCGGGCCCCCGCGGCGCCCAGCTCCGTCTCTTCTCCCCTACGCACCCTTAATTCTCTCTGCCTCCGTGTTACCGCATACTTTCTATTCGTGCCTTTCGCTCTCCTCACCCACTTCTTCTCCCTTCGGGCCTCTGGTTTCTGCTCCTTCCCTGTGGCCTCCGCATCCCCCAGCCGTGCTCCTCTGTTCGCTCCATGCGCTGTGCTGCACATTTTAGTTGGTTCTTCACGGAACTTGGAGTTTGTTGTTTTTTATCTTTGTTAGACCTCTCCTGGCCTTTCTTTCTGGCTGGAAGCTATTCTGTCTTCGTCTTTGCTTCCTCCGTGGGTCTCTGCAACACCCCAAAAGTCTTCGCCTTGCAGTCTCCTGCCCCTTTTATTTTTATTTTCTCTGTGTGCCTTTAATGTTTTGTTTCTTTTGTGTCTGTGCATGCTTTCCAGTTTTTCTTTTATGCGCTTATTTCTAGCTCAGTGATCTGTTAGCACTTCATTGCTCTGTCTTCCACGAAGGCTGCTTCTTCCCAACTTTTTTAGTTCTGTGTCTCCTGTTGGTCTCTGCATGCCTTTGTGTCTGGATTAGGTTCATCCCAAAAGATGAGTTGTGGTTTTTAAGGTTACAGAGGTTTTCCTCTGGTTTTGGGAAAGGGAGATGACTAGCCAGTGCAGCTTTAGATGGAGCAGTGTTAAACAGTCTTATGATAACTCTGAGACAGATGCACATAAAAGCAAGATGGAGGTGGTTGTCCCCTAAACTTTGAAACCAGTGGATACTGAGTTTTTCAGGACTAGAAATTGTTAGAGAGTGATGGAGGCTGGAGCCCCACTCCTGCTTAGTTGTGCATATGTGAGAAGATGAATTAAATTTTCATAGGCTAGCATTTGTTTTTGTAAGCTATTTTATTTTGTTATAGAGGAATTAAGGATACTGTAACTTCTACGGTTACAGTGATTCGCAGTGCATGACAGATTAACAGTGTTTTGTAATGACTAATCCTAAAAAAAAAAAATACAAAAATTGTCTTTAGGGTGTTATTTCCTTGTGTGAAAACTTCATACAGACTGTATCATTTTCTTAATGTAATTGCCTAGATAAGCTGAACTACAAATTGTGCATTCCTTATGATAATACTATATATTCCTTTGTATATCTAAAAAGCAAGGCATTGTAGGTTATTCTCTGATAAGTACCCATCAGTCAATTTAAAAGATTACGTATGATAAAGAAGTTCTAGTACTGGCAGTAATTTTAGGCTACTAACTTTCTTTG